TTTTCTTGAAAAGATATTAGATCACCGTGGGAAACTTTCAAACGAGTAATGCTTACCATTCGATTATTCACACAAACCCTTCGATGACTTATCGGCTGCCTTGCTTGAGGAATAGTTTCACGAAAATGGAGACGAACCGGAATAACGTCCGATCTTGTTTCTGGATTGAGTAGAAAAGGGATATATGAAGTTCGTTCTGTTCCTCTGTGCATCTCTGTGATGGGTAAATCCCCATGAAAAAGGGGCAACTTTCGTGTAGTTTGTGATTGGATGTAACTGTTAAGATTTTCTCTCGGATAAATCTTTCTCTTAATAGATCTCTTCTTGTTCCTCAATCTTCGGAGAATGCGGCGTTGTATTATTGTAAGTTCTCTGTTCCGAACATTTCCTGAAAGTAGACGACAAGTTTTAAATCGCATATCCCGTCTTTATCTTTCTTTCCTTGGGGGAATGCCGCAACAAAAGGGGCTATGGGAGTAGAACCCAATTCTGCCAAAACCCCCGACAAAAACAAGATGGAAACTGGCATACCAGTCTCATTTACCTCTCTTTCTTCATTCAATATCTGTCTAGCCTGCTAACGACGCCCTTTCTTATCTACGCTATTTACCCTTCATTACTTCCCCAGCTTAGAGTGAAGTTCCTTGCTTTCAGTCTATTGGGCCTAGAGGACTGGGAATTGGCAATAACAAGAATCGGTCCTTTAGTGATAGTGAAAGCTCAATCCCAACTGTCGAATCAAAAGCCTAAACCGTCTAAGGTATGAAGTTACTTTCCAAAGGTCAATCCCTTTCCTGATGCCTGCGTAGAAGTGCAGTTGCTATTAAGGAAGATGTGCCATTAGTTAGAAAAGAAAATTTCACATTCATTCACTTTCTTTGTTGGGAGGTGTAGACGCTTAAGCTGGGAACGGCAGTAAGGTCCCTATATGAGATTTTGAACTTCTTGCTTGTAAGGCTGTGGCAATAGGAGGTTGGAGCGATGCATGATGGCCGGGAAAAGACGTAGCGCTTTAGAGACATCAGGATTACACCCTTATATCCCTGTCACAGAGTTTGGCCAGAAAAAAGGTCACGCTTTGGCCTATCATGAGATAATGAGTTTATGCACGTGGTGGAGCGGGCAGTCTTATGCCCTGGTAATCAAAGAAATGAGTAAAACGGCCCAAATAGCCAAATAGGTAAAGCAGAAGAGGCTTTATATTTTATAAGTCCATTACGACGGTTCAGGAGGCTAGAACCGTTGACCTTGAGGATGAAGCATAGCGCTGCTTAAGGAAGAGTTCGCTTTTCTTTTGCCGTAGGAGTTGCCGGCAGGTCTACCCCCTCGGAGACGGGTAGATCATCAGTCTGACTACTAATCAGGCCAGCGGAAAGCAAGGCCCTTTCTCACCTGCAGCAAATGAGGAGGGAGTTTTTAAGTGACTTGACGAAGGATTGGAACTAGGCCAATGCCAATCTCATCTATTGCAGCAAAGAAAGAGGAAAGGGGCGAAACGCTAGTTTGAATTGAAGTAAAGGAGATGCCATACGGTAGGAGGCAATAATTAATTAAGCCGGAATGGAGCCTTGTTTATTAGGCTAGATCGATGTGATGTATATTTCTTGGCTCTAATCCTCGGGGCACCATATGGCATATCCTCTTTATAAAGAAGGTTGAATTAGCACACTGAAAATGGCTTTGTGTAATCTGGCAACTGCGTATTTGAGAAGAGTCTTTACTATGGATGGGGATATTCATAGAATCTTCCTCTATTTTTTTTTTGCATAGGATAGAAAGATGAAAGATAAAGACAAGTAAATTAAAGGCAAGTCACGGGATCAGAGGATTATACCGATGTACCATAATAGTGCAGCAAGGAGGAGAGACTAAGCAATCAAAGGGATGCAAGCAAGTCAGCTGTTTCGGTACGAAAGCCTGTCCACCAAGGGTTTGCGGAGGTTTGACTCTAGTTCAGAACTCAAGAGGTACGGAACAACTCTCAGAAATCTGCCTTACCACCTCACAAACAAAACAGGTACTTTTGTCCAGTTTCTCGAGGTGCGTGCGGAATCCCTATTTCCCTAGAACGGTTCTCGCTCTCCTATAACTCTAACCAAGAAGGTTTCCACCTCTCACTCAGAACATAAGTTCTCGGGTTCAACCCCCGAGTTGGCAACAGTCGAACGCTAAGTCCCCGATATAGCTCAGTGAACTAGCCAAGGGTCAAAGTACAAAAGCAATCGACAATCGAAAACCACGATAGGAGCTTACCGGGCAAGAAAGGAAATGCTCCCATTTAGTCACCCACCTTCTATCGTGTCTTATTTCGATCATTCTTAACCTCACACCTCTATGGCAGAAAGCAGAAGCGCCGGGAAAGACAGCTGGCGGTATGTATAACAAGCAGTTCCGGGGCTCATACTAAGAGAGAGAAGGGCCCACTACGAAGAAGATAGGTCCCTACCCTAGACACATTGAAGGTCAAAGAGATTCCCGATATTGTATTATATTTATGTTTGACAGCACGGCACTAGTCAGAAGAAGATCGACGAACTCTGCGATACCATATTGGAACCATAGAGATGCCCCGTACTCTCCTCGGGGAAGCCCTTTTGAAGCTGAGAGGGAATAACACTTATATATAAGATATTGCCAGCTAGTTTCAGTGGAATGAACCCGGAATCTTTCTGAAAGGTCACTGATGGCCTTTCAAAGGAGAACTGTATAGCTGCGCACTTGTTTGCGAAACAGGTACGTCAATTATACCGTAAGTCCGGTCCTTTATCTACTGCACTTTATTTAAAGCAGTGTGGCGTTTGCCTTCAACAGGTTTACGAGAAAGATTCAGGAAACATCTGAGAATACGCAATGTCCAGGCCATTTCCTTTCGATGGCAGATCCCGTGGAAGTTCACTTTGTTTTGCTGTCGGACCAGGAGAGTGAATCGAATAGGTTACATAGGCAGGACAGGCGAGTTCTCATACATTTCCTGGCGCTGTTAGCCTGCCCTAATCTACTTCCTTCTCCTTTTTAGAAGTGACTGTTTACTCATCTTTTCCGAAGTGAGCATATACTGAATCTCCCCTAGTGTAAGAAAGTTGATTTCTATTTCTAAAACTTGCCTCTTGTAAGTGAGTGTATAAAATGGCATATCTAAGTTAGTTTGAAAGCCGGGTTATTAAAATCCCAATGCCCTCTTTTGACATTGTTCGAGTTCTCTAGCGCCTGAGTCTGTTACGGTGAGTGAGGAAGCCTTTAAATTGAAAGCAGGCCTTTCTTTTATTCAAGTAGGAATTATAGGCAAGCTAGCAATTCTTCAAGTGAGAGTTTACATCCAGTGCTACATTTAGAGTTCCAGTTGCAGGAAAGAGACTTAGGAGAGCCAGCAGGCGCCAGCAAGCTAGGTTTTAAGTGAGCAATCTTGTGATTTCCTTGCCATCCAATTACAATTACAGTTGCTATCTAGTTTCAGTGCCTGTGAGTAAACCAGTTCAAGCAAGGGTAAAAGCATATTCCGATTCCGACTAGCTGATTATAGAGTCATATGCTAGGCTAGTTTCCAATCATCCTGTTTTTAGTTTGTCGTGCCAGGCGAGCAAATGGGTTCCCTAGGCAGTAATTGGTTGCAGGGCATTTTCCTTGGATGTTTTTTCTGTCCTATAGATATAGAACAACAGGTAAAGCCTTAATGAAACCTTTGGGTGATCAAAGAAGAGAATCAAGGCTCCTCTCCTTTTCTAGGAATCTACAACTCTCTTTACTGAGCGAGACTCTACCCAGATCTAAAGAATTCGCCAAAGAGCCTTCTTCTAACTAGGAGAGTAAGCAAGCTACCGGAAGCGAAGCTTCTGGCTCCCCCTTTGAATTTCCAATTCCTTCTTTTCGTTCTACTTAGGTGGAGCAATCCGAACTCTCGACAGAATATAAAAGAGCGTCTTCGAACCTGTGTAGACACCTCAACGAACTCATGTGGACACTCCTCAGCCCGAGCCGAGGACAATTTATAAAAAATACACATTAAGATGTTGACCCGTTTTTCTTTTCTTTGCTGATTCCTCTCAATGAAATTTGCCATGTTGCACTAAGTTACTTACGTATGTATGCATGCGGTCCGGGAACACTTTGGGGTGAACACCCATCCGAACAAGTAGGGTCAATAGTTCAGCATTTAGGCCGTAACATTTAGCAACAAAAAAATCTTTAACCCAACAAGTGCTCTCCGAACCAAGCTAGATAGTCTCCTATCACTAGGCTCACCAACCAACCTGGACTTTTATTCTGATTATTCCTACCGGATATCAAAACCATAAGGATTGTTTCCAGCCATGAGTTCCCATATTACATAAGCGCTCTTGGGTGGGCTGGGCCATTCCATCAAATCTTTGAGAAGGGGCCCAATCTCGTATTTTATGGTCGGCGTGGCGATAGGCTTCGCTTCTACGACTGCCTCCCCAGCCGTTGCAAAGACTGAGCGAGAACGGGGCGGAATGTCGTTGCGCGGGGATGCGATTAGCCAAGCTGGGGCAAACAAAGCCGTCCGGCCCCCTACCGGATTAGGAATGCGAAGGCCTTTCCTTCGAAAGGAGACCGGGGAAATAAAGAGCTATGCTATTGACCGACCCTTTCGTAGTGACTTCGAATCAATAGTCCTATCCTTTTTTATCATTTTGTTTGAGGCGGGCCGAATAGAGAATGAAATGCAGAAATACGGGAAGAGTTCCAAACCGGTTTAAGGGCTGCTCGCCCTACCGAAGTACTAAAGGCTTTCGAGGCTTACACCTCCCTATTACACGACCTAAAAAAAGGTAGCTTGCTGTAGCGCCCTTAGAAGAAATCTAAGCCTTTTGAAGCGCCAGTAGTTGTAGCTGTGGCCACACCAACCCTTTCGTTCTTATCGCTCCGGGTTTCTATCTATATGACCTCCGGGCGGTACAAAGTACACCTCTTCCGTAGAGGCAGGTAGTAACCTACCTAACCTTTAAGAGTATGTTCAAGGGGGGGAGCCCTCTTATCTATCAATGGAAAGATCTCCGTGCGTGATAAGGAATCCTAGAAAAGATCGATTGAGACTCCCTCCCCGGTCCCACGAAGATCTCTACGTACTTGTCAAGTCCAGGACAACTGAGATCTTCCGGTCTGCGTGCGTGGGAGCAGCTCAAATAAAGAAGAGTCTGGTCTGAATTCAGGCCCGGCCCGCCCGTCTGCTGCTAGATCCGGGAATGGCGCCAGGCGAGGGCGCCGCTATGCCCCACAGCTCTGCAGCGGCCGGCCCCCGGACTATGCAAAAGAAAGAATAGAGGCCGGGGGGTCTCGCCCATAGTGGTTCCCCCCCGCCTTTGGTGATTGACCAAACTAAGAGGCCTAGATCTGTGCCCCTTAATGAATCGAATGGTCCTTCGGCCCCTTCATTTTATTCCGACGGCCGGCATAGATATCATGAGACCCGCCCACTATTACTACGAAAAAAGCCCTGCCTTTTTCCTTCTAACTAGGAGAGTAAGCAACTTCTATTAGCGCCGGACCTTGAGTCGAATTGATCGTGTCATGTGCAACGTCCATCAATGATGGTTCATTAATGTCCATTGATTTAGACTCCTTCCCCCTTCCCAACTACGAATAAGATCGAGAGGAGCCCCCCAAGAACGAAAACGGAAGCCTTTCGATTCACTCCCCATTATCTCTTAAATAAAGCTCGCCCTCGAGCCTTGGGCAGGTCGGCCGGGTCTTTCCCTGTTGTTCTGTTCCCGCCACGAGAAAGACGCACAGAAGGAAGAGGTATGCCCGGCGCGCAGAGGATCCGTTGAGAGTGTCTGTTGTATCGGTAGGGAACTTTACGATCTTTTCCCTGTATTGAATAAAAAAAAGAATAGGTCAGTGCTACGGCCCTCTATTGTTTGATCCAATATTGACCGGGGACGAGCCCCGACTTCCATAGGGCCTTTCCTTGGTTTGACCTCCCGTAGTGGTCCTTGCTTTTAATAAAGCTCCGCGGGGCTAATTTATCGTACTTGCTCAGTGTGCCCCCCTTTCGTCGAGTGCCCCGCCCGGTTCACTGGGCTGTTGGCCTACCAAGCACTTGCCCGCAGCTCCTGCCGCCCGCCAAGCGGGCGGAGCGCTCGTTATCCTTACTGTTCTCTATGCCGGGGCCCCCTCCCATTGCTCTAGCCATAAGCTATGGCAGCTCCAGCTCGAAACCAAAGGGGCCCGCCCTGCGAGGCCAGAGTGGGCTCAGTGGTCAGCCCCCATTCGAATTAAGGGGTCTTTAGCTTTTGCCAGATCTAGAGAGATACTACGAGTCCTCCGTCCCAGATTCCATCGCCGCGGCCATCTGGTTCACCGGTACTACCAAAAAGTCTCATGCTTACGTTACTACTGTTACTGATGGTTTGATTATCTTGGACCCCGGTCGGTCGTGCTTCTGGTTTCCATTCCCATCATCATATTGATATGATCAATCTCCTCGCGCTCTGCCATAAGAACTTGGAGTCCGTATCATGGTGAAGGTAAGGTAACGCTGTGATTCTTGCTCAAAAAACAGACCGAACGCGTTCGAGTTATTGGCTCGTCCAACCCGGCAGCATTCATGAGTCGCTCGTTCAACTGTCCCTCGGAGACACGGTCGAGAACATGCATGGTTGCCCCCCGTCCTTTCTTGCTCTCGGTCCCACCCAGCAAGATACGGCTCAGCCAAAAAACGTGAGCGCCCCTGCGCGAGCCTTATTTTTTTAGTAAAGTCACCCTAAAGACTAAAGACAGAAATGGATCAAAAAAAGGGGGGACTTCTGCAACGGGCTATACCACCCAAACCAACTGAGGGAAGTCGCATCCGCCCCATCGCAAGCACCTACAATGTCATGATCACATTGGTTTACCCTTTTTTCTTTGGTAGTTCAACGGACGGTCGCCCCTCCAACAAGAAAAGGTATAAATATGGAAACTTCTCTGCCATTTGGATCGGAGAATTTATGGAGGAAATCGGCTTTTAAATTTCCAGAAACCACACGATTATATAGCCAAAGGGAATACGCCGCGCCTAAAATCATCCCAAGCGCTGCTAATGTGGCTACTAAGCTATTTCTTTGGAAAGCTCCTACTGAGATGGGAAATTCCCCGATAAAGCTGCTAGTACCAGGTGAACTCATATTGGCCAAAGTGGAAGAGAAGGAAATGGTAGAGAGATTCGGCATGGTGCTCACTAACCCTCTGTAATATCTAACAAGTCGAGTCTTATGTCGGTCATATAGAACACCAACACATAGAAAAAGGGCTGAAGGAACCAGTCCATGACTTAACATCGGTGGAATGCTACCTCCAATTCCCTGTATGTTCGATAGAGCCAAAGATTCCCCCCCACTGATCGGAGTACGCCGATTACCCCCCGAACCGTACAAGATAGTTACCGCCTATCATACGGCTTTCTAACTTAACTTTTTTTTCTGGTCGTTCCGCTCTGTCGATCGATGGTAGTATAAGAGATCTGATCTGTAACCCCCCGAAATTTTTTACATAAGGGTTCCTGCTTTCTACCCATAGTTAGCATGTATCTCCCCGGGTCATACTTGAGTATCACATCGTAGACCCCCACCCCAACTCTATCTTCCTTATCAGTGAACCGGAAATAGTGCATAGGTACTTTTCAATGCAGCGGGGACGAGATGACATACTACGATCACGTACAGAAGTGCTGCCCTTCGGCTCGGCAATATGGAACCTCTCAACAGCCCCCGTTCCTTTATGAGGTCCTATCGGGATAGGTAGGCCCAGCCCAAGCCCTCCCCCTCCCTCCATAAGACCCTCTTTCTCTTTCCCCCTCGAGAAAGAGAAGAAAGGGTTTTTTATCTTCTTTCATGTGAATGGCCCTATCTTGTATCGAAAGGTTTTTCGTGCTATACACCACGTTGAGAAAGACCAGCCTCCTATGTACCGTACCATTTTTTTGACCCGGGAGGTCCTCCTTATGATGCTACGGACGGCTGTCCGAAGTGCAAGGGGTAAACTCGGACGAGGATAGGATTGCGCGCGCCGGGCCCTCCCTTCGGGTGTCCAATTTTGGCCGAGTTTACCGTACCTCCGGCCCTTATGTTACGCGACCGTAATCTTTTTTTATGTTCCACCGCTGTTACGCCAGAAAGAAAAGGTTCCACACGAGCTCCCGTTCTGCGGCGTGGTGGCAGGACCGATAGGAGATTGGCTCCGGGTGTAGATAGGGTAAAATCCGCAGGAGTCATGCAAATACATAGGCCCCTTCCCCTCTCTTTTAGATGAATGGGGTGGTTTGGTTTATAACGTCTTTTCCTATCTACGGTCCCTCGGAGCGAGGGGTTAGGCAGGTAGTATGGGCCCTCTGACTTCCAGCTATGTGTTGTGCGGCTCCCGCGAAGCGAATGAAGGGAAGCTCTTCGAGCTTACGCTTACTCTCAGCCTCTTTGATTGGTAGGCGGGCGGGCCCCCTACTTAAGATTCCATTCATAAGGGTAATTTTCTGTTGTCGTGACGCTTTGGTTAGGCCGACTACTAGACTACTAGAGGTTACTTCTAGCTTCTATAGGGGCCTTTCCACGTGTAGTTTTAGTTTGTATTGGTACTGAATGAACATATCAAACAAAGGCGAGCAGTATAAGCCCTTCTCTGGCCTGGGAAAAGCAGCGAACTCTAGAAGCTAGGGCGTTGTTCACCTTTGGACACGAACACTATTCCGTTCTCAGCGTAAACCCGCCTTAGAGATTGAACGGCAATAAGTCGACGTTCAATCTAAGACAGCGCTGATAGCTTGTAGTGAACAGCCCCCTTCTTTACCAACCGAAAGCAGCCTTTGGTACTTAACTTAAGTAGGGAACCCTTGCAACTATGATAGAAAGCCGTTTGCTTGTTGCCAAACCCTTCGCCTTTCTTTTGTTTTGAATCAAAGTAGGTCGCGACTGTTGTATTTTTGTTTAGTAGGTCGGGGGAAGCTACCGCTTATACGACAGCTCTGCTTCCTCGTCTTGCTTCTGGCAAAGCTTCTACTTTGCTTGCGCGAAGGCTTATTAAGTCCTTTTCGCTAGGTCCAAAAGCTTCCGTCAAAGCTAAAGATCTGATCCAACTGAAATCCCGCACGCATATCCGCTGCGCTCAATATGCGGCTACGGCTAGGCGATCATATCGTGCCAAAAAACCTTTTTTTATGTATAGAGAGATCCCCTAGATATACAGATAGAATAGATGTTCATGGATAGACAGACATTCCATTGATTCTTAGTTTTGGGGCTGAAAAAGCTCGTCGATCCAAATGAATCATTCTTGTGGTCTCTCTTCGCCCCCCGCCCCGAAACTGACCCACAGCACAGCGCCCATTCGCTTCGCGCGCGGGAAGGCTACGAAGTTCAGTTCATGAGACCGCGGCGGAGTGGAGCAGCCGCGACACGAAGTTCCTTACCTTAGCTGGATCTCGCTGGTGCCACCTAAACGGTAAGTAGGCGACGGATGTGTGACGTTTGGAGCTAACTCTTCCTTTTGCGCGATGCTGAAAACCATCCTATCCCAATAGCCTTACCAATGAAGAAAGTCCAGAGTGCAGATATAACCTTATCGACAGAAGACATCTTGCTGGACAGGAAGAAGCATACATAAGCGGCCCCTTTATCTCACCGGTGACATCGGCGAAAGAAGGCTACCGCGGGACCCTGGGGCCTCCATCAACGTGATGCCACTGCGGGCCCTAGCCGATCTAGGAATTCCTTCCTACGAGCCGGCTAAGTCAGACCAAGGTTACTATTCCGGGGTACAATGCCGACTCGCAAAGAGCCATCGGCAAGATTCGTCTCTTGTGTGTGCGGATCTGAAGACTGAGGTCACTTCTTACGTGATTGACGGTGACACCTCCTAAACTTCCTGCTTGGATCCACAGCGTGGTACCTTCCACCCTTCATCAATGCTTCAAATACGTTGATGAGAAGGGAGAAACTGGGTATTTGCCGACAATAAGCCCTTTTTTAAAGGAGTCTAGGCATACTGTCTGTACGGATGCGCGTCTTTACAACGACGGCCCAGACAGTGATGGATGACGAAAGCCCGCCAGCGAAAGCCGAAGCACAGGTTCGTAGACCTCTCCGAATCCCTCGAAAGCTAAGGGATTTACGGTCAACGCTATCTCAAAGAGCATGACCCCGTTGACGAAATCTCTAAACTGGGGCTGGGGGAATTACTTCAACTCTCGGTAAAGATGCCACTTCCTGCATTACAGCAACCTTCTCAGGCAGAGGACCCTAATGGAGTGGAGCGACATTCGTCCTCTCAATGGAGGGTTTTTTTCCTCATCTTTCACAGGGTAGCCCGGAAGTCTTATTCTACGCTGGAAAGAATCGTCACCGATGGTGAGATAAGAAAGAGAAAGTACAGTCCGATTGCAAAGAAGCGAAGGACATGGGCTATGACCTTGAGGAGCCTGTCGGGCTGAAGTGAAGAACGGTCGAGGCAGAAAAGTACCCCTCGAGCCGCATCTAAGTGAAGAAGAAAGGGAAGCTTGGCTAGCCGGCCAGTACGTCGATCTCAGAAAACATAGGCTTGGGCTACCTGCCAACTCCGCTCCCTGCGCCGAAAACTTTGTCTTACGCCGAAAGTTCTGGAGATCTTTCTTTCAGATCTCTTCCAATTGTCTATAAACGTAAAACAAAGAGCAAAGAGACGAGAGTAAGTTCAAGAATTGGATGTAGAGCCTGTGCCCCCTAAAGAGGACGAGGTCAAGTAAATGGATCTCGGGACTGTTGACAATCCTCGCCCTGTATTCCTAAGTGCAAGCTTCTCAAATGAAAGAGATTTGACAGTACATGGATCTACTCAGAGAATTCTTTGATGTTTTCGCTTGGAGCTACGCCGAACTGGACTAGACCGAAAGATAAATGAGTTAGCTCAGGCTCAGG